ATTCCTTAAATAATTGTTCCTATTTTGAGCCATTTCCATTTGATTTTCCCATGTCCAATCGTGAAAACCTAAACTTTGAAATCTTGAAAGCAAAACCACCTGATCTTAATCGAGAGTTATCTTAAGTGATTTCGATCATTTAAGATGTAATTAACTATAGGGGCTTGCCTCTATAGGGAACCAGGCACCCAGATAAAATAAAACCCTATCTAATTTTTATGTTAGATAGGGGAACTTGTTGGCCTTTTTATAAAATATTTCGCAGATCAAAACGGATGTCACAAATTGTTTAGTCTAGATGATTAAATCCCTATTACAAGTAATATATTTATTTTTCGGGATAAATGTATTGCTTGTAGTATTGTATTAAATCATCTAAACTATTTGAAAATGTGAGACTCGTTTGGTCTCACTTATTTTAAAAATTAAAAACGTTACTTCTTTAAAAAAGTTATATTTATATTTAAATTATTTTCAAAATCACAAAATCATCACTTTTCCAAACTACGAAGTTGAACAATAAAACGGCCGACAAGCTGGTATTGTGACTTCAGCCACCTTGGCAATGGAAGAGTTGTGTTGTCTATAGCTCTAGTCTGAAGGCAAGTAAACAGATATTCTATACTTATGTATTCATTCTGCTATGAAGTTGTTTGCCTAGTGGTGGTTTACATAGGATGTACAGATTTATAAGTGTAACTTTATTGTGTTGAGTCTGCGGCTAGGATTTACTGAGTTGGGTTTATATCAGCGGTGATGAGGTTATTTGTTGCAGGAAACGCAATCACCTGATCAGCTTGGATGTTGTTGTGACATGCCACTCAATTCATATGTCCTTACACATTTTAATACTGAAACTTAAATTTTTACATATATGCCATCTTGTTTCACTTTTAAAAGTCAAAATAGTGGTATATTTTTATGTGATATGAAGGTAGGGCGGTAAACGAGTGAAGACTTATGTTCGGCTCGTTTGAAATAGCGCATGAACAGTGTGTTTTGTGTTTGACTTTTCGTTCATGTTCGGCTCAAAGTTTGTTTGTTTATATTAATTAGAAAAATATGTGTAGGATGTTTAATTCCAAGTTGCATCCTTCATATGCAATAAAAATACACAGCACAACATAACTCCACAGGCTGCGATGATTTAAACTTTGATATAACTATATATAATATATAATTTCCTTAATTCGTGCCAAAACAAGATGAACACAATTCAACAAAAGGGTTTTTCGGTTCAACTCATTCATCATTTAAGCTTAAAAGAATTGAACACGAGCTATTCGCAAACAACGAACTTTTTGGACGGCCTACATGAAAGTTTCAGGCAGTATACATGTAAAAGGTAAAATTTAGCTGTAGATATGTAAATACATAAGGACTGGGAGGTATGCATGTGAATTCCCCCAACAAGTTTTCATACATTGCATGAAGTTCATTTTTACTTCTAAATGACTTCAGTCTCACCTATCATCGCTCCATTCCAGGCATTTCAACGTGACTCTCCCTTAGCCGTCGACATGTCTTCTGCAATTCTGAAGCTCTCTGAAAATGGAGATCTTCAGCGAATTCATGACAAATGGCTGATGAGAAGTTCCTGCAATTCTGATAAAAGCGAGATCGAATCCAACAGCCTTCAGCTCCAGAGTTTCTGGGGCTTATTCGCCATATGCGGAGTCGCCTGCTTTCTCGCTCTGCTCATATACTTCGTCATGATCATTCATCAATTCCTCCGACATTTCACTCAGGAATCACTCAAAACTCCCGAGGGAAGCTCGCGTTCTGGAGGCTCCAAGTCTGGCAGAATCTTGCAGTCCTTCCTCTCCTTCGCCGACGAGAAGGAGGTGGATCCGAGGACGAGGTCCAGAAGCAGGCAGTGTTTATCAGAAACAGGAAATGCCATCGATGTTGGCAGCGAAACTTCGACGCCAAGAAAATAGGTATTTTGGTTTGGTTTGCTGTATATGATGAATTGATTCAGAATTGTTGGCTTCCAGAGATCAGAAAGCTTCATTGCCGACACCATTCTTTTGCAAATAAGCTCTTGCTCGCTCATTTAGCTGCCTGTGTTTTGCTTGGATCACATGTAAATTTGGTTCTGATATGTTGCTGCAGTAATCTGCATATATGTCTGTGTATTTTGATTTTTATAAATGAAATAAAAGTGTGATCTGAGCTTTAAGAAATGTTCATCTTCCATTTGGGATTAGAACATGCGCAAATGTTAGCCTAGACTGCTCCAAACTATATATTTTTGTAGATTTGTAATGTAAAAAACTGGGTTTTCCACACTGAGGAGTTATTAGCACATGAGATAAAGGATTAAATTTTTGGGGATTTACATACACGGCACCCAATTCTTATGATTTTGCCTTTCTCACACCCAAAATCTCATTTTTAGAAACCAAGCACCTAACTTTATGGATTTCACCATTCCCCAACAGTAAAGTTCATATCTTTATCCATAGTTTGGGGGCTTGGTTTGTAAAAATGATAGTTTGGGAGCTTGGTTTGTAAAAATGAGAGTTTGGGCGAAGGCTTCCATCCTATTCTAAGCCCTACACATTGACAAACATTCCTAAAAAACCGGTCTTTTTTTCGCAAACCCACTGACAAATATACAATTGCAAAGGACAAATGTATTATTTTCATATTCGCAACTTAAAATTTGTTTGAGGATATTTCTGTTACTTTTATAAGATGGTGGTGAGACCTGCAATGCTCTATGGCGCTGAATGTTGGCCTTTAAAAGAGAAACATAATAATAAGTTAAGTGTTGCCGAGATGAGAATGATTAGGTGGATGAGTGGCTTTACACTTAGAGACAAAATGCGAAATGAATATATTCGTGATAGGGTTGGTGTAGCTCCTGTGACGGACAAAATTAGAGAAAGTCGTCTTAGATGGTTTGGTCACATTAAACGTCGACCATCTGATGATCCAATTAGGAGAGTAGATGTTTTAGATTCGACTTGTGTTAAGAAAGGCAGAGGTAGACCTAGGAAGACTTGGGCTTATTGTATTAAAAATGATCTTAATTTACTAGAACTAAATGAAAATATGACACCAATGGAGAAAAAGGATTCATGTAGCCGACCTCACATAGTGGGATTAAGACTTTGTTGTTGTTGTTGTTGTTGTATATTTCTGTTACTGATTAGCAATGATGTTTTCATTTTGTTAACGATTGATCTGAAGGTAGACAGTATTTATTATATATAACATACTAGATTTTTTTTAAAGAGTATACCACTCAATTGCTATGTATTTACACATCTAGCACCTATACTTCAATTTTTACAAACATACCAACCTTAAATGCACATCAAAAGGTGCATTTCACTTCTTAAAAGTTAAAACAGTAAACTTTTTGATGTGATGAAAATTAAAGCTCAGGTGTTATATATGTAAATACATAAGAATTGGGTGGCTTAAAAGTTAAAACAGTAAACTTTTTTATGCAATGAAAATTAAAAGCTCAGGTGTTAAATATGTAAATACATAAGAATTGGGGGGTATGTATGCAAATGCCCCTAAAAATTAATATGATGAATATAAAAGGTATTGACACAATTAACACTTCAGCTTGAATCATTAATGAAGTCCCAAGCCAACATATGGTTAAGCCAGATTTTTTCCGTTAGCATCTCCTTCCAAGTTCTCCTACATTCATTTCACAGCGAAGCCTCACTTCTGGTAGAATTAAAGAAAGTCCTCAAGCCAACATCTGGTTAAGTCAGATTTTTTCCGTTAGCATCTCATTCTAAGTTCTCCTATATTCATTTCACGGCGAAGCCTCACTTCTGGTAGAATTAAAGAAAGTCCGGGCAAGACCCCTGCTTGCCAAACTTCAGAGGCTGCACGAACGGGCTCGTTTATATATCGAGCATGAAAGATTATTCATATTTACCGTGTTTGTTTGTCGAACGAATTGAAGATGAGCTACTTAATGAGTCAAACACAAATTGTTCGCGAGCCGTTTTTACAGATCTAATTCAGGGCCATCTTAAGTACGTCACGGGCCTTGATCCTAGGTCCATATTTAAGTTGACAATGAATACTATAATGATTTATCAATGACTTTGCTTCTTATTTTAATAGATTAACAATCATTGATTATATGGAATTCAAATACATATCACACAATATTTATGTATTTGCATATCTAACATAAATTTTATATTTATACAGATACAACCCATGACTTTAATATCACAAAAAAATTGCCACCATTGTTAACATTTTAAATGTGAAATATAGTGTCATGCATATGTTTATGACAAAAATGTTTATAAGTATAAATATCAAACTTTAGAGGTTAGACATGTAAATATATGAATTATGTGACATGTATGTAAATTTCCTTGAAGGTATATATATCATACACTTCATCCTTGTTTTACCATTGCATTGTAAAAAGAATAAAAAAAGATGCATCAAATGATACTTAAATGCTACAATGAACTCACTAACAATTAAAAACAAGAGGTCATTAGATGACACAACCCATGATTGTTGACAAGAATCTTTTAGTCAGGTTGGATCGACTACCTCCTCTAAATAGATCAGGACCACGACGTCCTGAGATGATGGAATCATGGGATCTTCATCAAGTTCATCATCATTTTGAATTAAATCTGTAATATATTTAACGTATAAACTTCAACATCAATATAGTATATGACATTTCATGGTATGGTCATGAATTTGAGGAGAAAATATTTTAGACCGAATAACTTCCAAAAAAGGAAAAAATACTCCACCGCAATTCAGCAAAGCTACATAATGCAAACAATAAACCAAATTGAATAGCTTGGTTCTATTGATCTTTTCAACTCAAGCACGTCTTGTCAAATAAATGATACTTTGCAAAGCAAATTGCAATATACTTTTAGTTTCCCTCCATGACTCTTCTCGAATAAAAAACTTCAAATTTATAAAGTTCAAATGTCTAAGCACCACACAACCTCATAAAATTTTTATGATGGTTGAGTTTAAGGCCTGCAAGAGTTCATTGAGCACATTTTTCTGCACAAATAGAGAAAGAGAGGACTAAAATTCACAAGTAATACCTAGAGAGTAAAGACCTCTTGAAGATGGTTTCTTCTTTCTTGCTCGAACTTGGATTTAACCTTCAACAATCCCTTGCTTTCCTTGTTTTTTTAATTTTCACTACTTTAATTCCCTATTTTCTTCTTAGATTGCACCCAAATTTTGTACTTGATGCTTTTTGATACAAAGGGGGATTTGTATAAGCAAAAATTGAGAGAAAAGAAGGAAAAGATGTGCAAAACGCGTAAGTTATGGTGGCAGAGTCAAAGGCTAGGCTTGACTGAACTTTGTGAACTTGGTGGCTTGGGGTTGACCAACTAGATAGAAATAGAGAAAGGGGAAGAAGGGAGAGAGAGAATGAACTTGTACACGTGAACTAGCAGCCCTGCATCACACTAATTATCACACAAATCAAATTTTTTTCCATTTCAGAGCCAAAATTTTCTTCATATTCACACGAGCTAGGAGCCACGAATCACGCAATGCATTGAGTCAGACTTGTACAGTCTGCCATCAAACCTAGTTCCACCCCTTTTCATGTCATTAAGCAACTTGACCAAATCATCAGTTTTGTTAATCTTAGAAAAAAAAAATACAACCATAATTCCAGCCATGGCCACATCATCTTTCACACCATTCATCTTATACTCATCATAAAATTTTAGGCATTACTCAAACGTTCCAGCTCTGTTGCAAGCACATATTATGCTAGTATAACTCATCTGATCCAATTTCTTTCCTTTTAATCTACTTCCACAATTTCTCCATTTGACTGAGATTGATAAGCCTCCCATGTAGATCCAACAGAGAATTCTAGACAAACATGTTCGGCGCGCTCCCCTTCTTCTTCATCTTCACCAGCAATCTCATGGCATTCCCCAACCTTTCCATTCTTCCCATATAGAAATTATGTCGGAGTAAGCTACCACACATATGTCAAAGCCTCTCTCAAACATTTCATGAAATGTGTTCTCAAAATTTCTATAGAAACCATGACGATAATAAACATTGATAATTGAAGCATATGCTACTTGTCTTGGCTCATCCTAGAGATTTTAGCTTCTCATATAGTTTGATTGATTCCCAAAGCCCACTTTTCTTTGTGTAACCAATATAATGGCACACAAGGCTCAGTCCGTAACTTTGATCTTATCATAACCTGATATTAAATTGATGCAACAAATAATGAAAAAAAAATACACAATTTTTATATGAAAATGCAAGATGGAAAAAATCACGAGCAGAGCAGGAGAATTCACTATATCAAATCTAAAATTCCAAGTGAAGAGCTTTGGCCAACATAAAATCAAAATGAAGAAAAATTGAGTGCCTTATACAAAATATAATGGGGTATTTATAGTCTTTGGCAAAACATTTTTAAATACAATAATTAAAAGGAGTGAATAAAACAATAACTGATTGCAATCTAAAGGCTATAAAATTGATCAAACTGTCGAAGTCTTCAATCCACATGTTGATGGTTTCCTTCCAAAGCCTCAATATGTGTGCTCAAAATTCCATTCTAAAGATTCAATTCATATGCTTGCAATTTCCTTAAAAGAAGATAAGCGAGATTCACAAAATTCAAGTCACAAATTTAGCAATCTCCATATTGACACAAATTTTCAAATATACAGAATAAAACTTTCTCCACCTTTTCTACAAAGCTCTAATGACCAAGAATGGATACCAATCAAGTCTAAGTAATATTTAAACTTGGCTATTAGGAGTGTCATAGTTATCATATCCACAAAATTATAATGGTACAGGTCTTACTTACAATAATATTATCATGAGTAACTTCACAAACAAAGTGATAACGACCACCAATGTCATTGGTTCTCTCATGAAATATCCTATATTTACTGAGAATAATAATATTCTAACTATCACAAGTTATTGTAGTGATATTTAAATCTTCAATAAGTTCTTTCAACAGAACTTTCAATGAGAGAGCTTCTTTCTAAGCTTTGGTAATAGTTATGTACTCAGCATCAATTATATATATTGTCATTATTATCTGTAAAGTAGCCATACAGCTATTCACACAATCATTAATAGTTTTTTATTTAATGTGATTATACTGTGAGAAGACATTACCATCATAGAACAAACTCACACTCACGACATACTCTCATTACCAACAAATACTTCACAAAACAACAATGTCTGAATATATTCCAAGATTTATATGTCATGTTTAGAGAAACTAATTATCAATGATTTTCCATTGTTTAAATAGCTACCAATTGGTCTAAAGCACACGACCATGAACTCATTGGTTTTAGAAAGAGCTGAGAGCCTGAAATCATTAGACAATGTACCTCCATCCAATGCGAAGCTCAAAATAGTTGAAAATAAATATTTGAAAAAGATTTATTGTCCTCCAGAATTAAAGCAGCTTGAGGTCATTCTATGTGAAGTTCTATCTTGGAGAAATTTGATGCATTGCAGAAATTTAGACTCAAACCTGATGAAAAAGAGAGCCTTCCAGAATGGTTTGTTGATGCTTCTACAGCAAACACGGCTGTAAAATTTACTCATTAACAAGAATTGAGTGATATTATTTTAAATAATAACAGCTGAAGGTTAGATTTCAAAAAATAAAAAGTTCGTGAGTAACAGGAACATCAAAAAAAAAAATGAAGGAAGATTTACGAACATACCGCTCAATTCTTATGCATTTACATATCCAACACTGAAACTTTAATTTTTACATGCATGCCACCCTATGCATGAAAAGGTGTATTTTACTTATTTTTGATGTGATATAAAAAAATATTTGGGTGGTATAAATTTAAAAAGTAAATTATAGGTTTTAGATAACTAAATACATAAGAATTGGGCTGTATAAATGTAAATGCCACACAAAAAAAAAGGAAATATGAACTCCACATCCACATCCAGAATAAATTTACATGCATTCATGAATGCCAACATATGCATTCATCCATCAAGAATGACTGATCGTTGTTCCCAAATCCAAGTCCCAAACATTTAACATAAAACAACACATAATGTACAATATTTAGAAAGACCTTTGTATACTATATATCCATGAATAGAATGTGGTCAGAGATCCGGCTTCCCAACAACTGCTTCATCACTGGAATCATATTCCCCATCTGAGATCTCATCGTCACTCGATCCATCTCGAGGAGGGGCCGCAGCTGAATTATGCTTCGCATGTCTTTCACAATGTTCTGCTTGGAAAGCCGAGAATTACACGAGATCTTTATTCGAATCATCAGACGATAAAATTACAGAGCATGGAAAGAATTTTATATAGATTCACTCAATTGATGACTATATATCATATTGTTGCAAATGTAAACTTCACTATGATGCCGAACATTTTATGAAAAAAATTATAAGACTAATCTCTCAATAAATAATAATGACTGCACCCTATTTAAAATGAAAATTAAGACGGTCTGTAATACATCAAAACTACTACAACATGATGTAACAATTATACATCTTCATAGGGCATTAATTAGCGTGCACATCTTAACAAATACAAGTGAAGAAACATACAGCTTCAGAGATTCGTAAGAGTATGATAAAACTGAAAAGCACATATATACGAATAGAACACAAATTGAAATCCAGCAGGTTTACATTAGAGTTCAATTATTTAAAAGTGTTGTTGTTTGTTGAATCAATTTGAGCTATTAATCGTTGAATGAAATCATAAATTTAAAAAAGGGCCTCTCCAGGCACTGACGCACCCCGCATGGCGCTGCAGCGCTTTAGTTCTGGTGTCGGGGCACTATCTTTGAGGCATTGGGGCACTAGTCTTTTGATTAGTAATGTTCTCTATATGATAAGTTTTTACCTATATACTGTACATATATATAAATATACCAAAGAAAAGCATAAAATTGACATAAAAAGTGTAAGAAAAATACTATATCACAACATCACATTTAACACATCAATTTTCTCCAAGTTTGAAATCCTTCAACATCAAGTTTGTTATTTATTTAATAGATTCATCTCCGATCTTTCACCATATCACCATACACATCAAACCACTTAAGTCAAACATATAATCTTCAAGAAATGTCACTCCAAATGCCCCTTTAATATAATCATTCCTTTTTTTCTTTTTCTTAGATTTTCCACACGCCAATCTTAACACTCATTTTGCCACACTCAACTTAGCTATCAAAGACATTTTACTGCCCAACACTCATGTCCATAAAAGATAGCTCTTAATTGCAAGAAACCTTCTTTAATTCTCCATAATATAAAATCCATGAAGTACTTCTCTACTTTAACCAACTAAATTTAACTATATAAGTTCTATCCTAATATGTATCCTCAATTCTTTTACATAATAAATCTAAGATATTTAAATCAGCCACATACATGTATCACTTTTCTTCTAATAGTGGTTATATCACACTCAATAAATATCTTATACTCAGTCTTTGTTTACTATCTCTAAACACACTATCTCTAAAATTATTTTCCCATTGCTCTAAAATCAATTTTATAAATAAGAAGTTGCTCCAATTTAGGGGGAAGGATCTTATAGGATAGAATCTGATGAACACAAAAACTAAATATGAAATAGACTAAACGCACCAGAGTAAAATTATTAAAAGCGTCGGTTACTCCTATGTTGATAAACTTGCCCAATCTCAAGGAGTTTGGAACTCGCTTGACTGAAGTGAAGCGCTAAAAAGAAAATAGATATACTACTTACAACTCATATCTAATTATAAATAATATTGTTAAGAAAATAACTAATCATCGGATGAAATGATGGTAGGCAAAACATACTATTCAAATTCCATTAAATTTTAAGTTTGAACATCTGGCTAAATAGTTTATCAACATATCGTCAAGCTACTAAAGTTTGTAGCATAGAGAATAGTTTGAAAGAATAAAAAATAATCCTCTCTTAAATTGTTGATAGGCAAAACAATAATTCTTTTGAGTTCCATCAAAATCTAAGTTTGAATATCTTGCTAGATAGTTTATCAATGTATGGCTAAAAAACCCCAGTTTGTAGCATATATAGCCTTGAATAATCTAATCCACAATGCCATACTTTCTATATTCATCATCAACTATGCTTTTTTCTCATCATTGAATTTGGAACCCAATGTTTGTTCCTTGGTGTCATCCAAATCATCTCCTTCATCCTTAAGGTTTACTATTCCAACTCTTTCAATACTAAGTCTTTGCTCATAAATTTGATCGAACTTTTTTTTCAAAAGTGCTTAATGCTCTTTTCACATCAAATTATTATCACAAAAAGCTAGCTTCGTTTTAGCACTGGAAGTATTAATATCATTCTCTCAAATCAAGGTAAAGTTCTTGCCTCATTGAATGGATGATTAAGATAAGATGCTGTCCTAAGCACACCTAACTAATGTGCTTATTGACTGATGTATAAGGTCTTAACACTTATTGCCTTGCCTTCCTCAAATGCTAAGAATCATCCAACATGCTTTTAATGAAATGAAGGCATCAAAATTTTAGAATTCGTTTGACAATCACTCGAACTTTAATTGACTCAGGATTTTCTTTTTTCAACTTGAGAATGTCTTGCTAGAAATAGTCAGCTAAAAGTTGAAATCAGCTCAATATATTAATAACTACAAATGCATATAATTGTCTAAACTTATATACATATATAACATAATGACAATAATAAATCTTAATTAGGCTAGGAATATATTTATCAAAACTAAACAACTGTGCTCAAATCAATTTCAAAGTCAAGTTGTAATTGACCGGCTCAACTTGATCCAAACATGGCCTATAGAGACTCGAATTAAGCCAAGCTCAAGTCAAAATCAATCTCTTGATCGAAATCAGCTTGCTTGAGCTCAAATCAATATCAGCCCTCGTTGTAAACTACATCCAAGAAGCCACATTGTGTTAAAATAAAAAATGAAGCTCAATTATCATTAAAAAAATCCAAGCTGCTTAATGCTTCTACAAGAAAATCAATAAACTGGCATTCCCCACCACAAAGATTCAAAACTGAAGCTCTGGATTCTTCACTCAGCCCAAACAAACAAGAAGAATAATAGAGAAAGTAAGATGCATATAAAAGAGAAAATTTCCACTATGCCAACCTTTCACTTTTTGTTCATAGGCAGCCTTATCCCTCATCATTAAGGCTGCAGCCTCTCCATTCAACGGATCTGAAGGATTTGGATACAAAAGAAGCTGTGGAAGGAAAACCTCAAACACATTCACAAGGTCTGTAGAAAAGTAAACAACAATTAGAACAACTACTCCATTAAAATATCCAAACCCTAGCAGCTCAATGAATGTATTTATGCAATCCAATCCATGCCCAACATGAAATTTACCAAACATGGGGCTCCACGTCTGGTTAATGACATCCAAACAAATAGATCCAGACCTGAAATTACATTAGAAATGCTATAAAAAGCTCTAAACGAAAGTATTAGAAAGTAAAAAAAAAACAAACATACATCTCATCCACATTTGGATGATAAATCTTATTTACAAAGCCAAGCGAGGGAGATTTGTAGGGATAAGCATCAGGTAGCTCAACCCTAATCGTCCACACCCCTCCTTGATATAAACCTGTCGACATCAAAACTATACAGCTTGAGCGAGCATTATCACGCTGAAGGTGGAAACATTAAAAAACAGAAGATGGAGCAAGAGGACATACTATCTTTAGGCCCATGAAAATCCACTAAAAACGCATCAAAACTATACAGCTTGAGCGGGCATTATCACGCTGAAGGTGAAAACATTAAAAAACAGAAGATGGAACAAGAGGATATACTATCTTTAGGCCCATGAAAATCCACTAAAAACTCCTGCATCCCATCGTTCACCATCTCCACCTTATAATCGCTCATCATCCTAACAGAAGTAAGAACAATCAGAAGTAAGAGAAAGAATCAGAAAGAAATCGAGAAAAAAGAGAGAAGTCTCGGATCATCACAGCTTCATCAAATCCATCTCTCGGCGCTTGCTTGGAGAAGACATGTCTCCTTCTCGATAAAAGAGTTCTCCACGACCCAGAGATTTGATTGAGTTATAATGAAGAAGAAAGGCGGAAAATTGGAGAGAATTAGAGCTGGATTAGTAGACAAGAAGCTCTGTTTCCTTGCAAATGGAGCCGGAGGGGATGAACCTGGAGTAGGTACTGCCGTACAGCACCGCTATTTTCCCTTTAATTATATATATAATTACTATTTAATCATTCCTAATCATTGAAATTAATTTTATGTTTTAAAATTGCCTTACGTCATTAGAGATAACTTTTGAGTATGGGCTGAAGAAACGTTGGGCCGTTGGTTGTTTGCAGAGGCAAGTAGGTCTTAAAATACAATATCATGCAAAACTTATTATGAAATAAGGTTACTTAATTTTATTGAATTAATTTGCAAAATTTATATGTAACAAGCAAAATATAATCTCAAAGCCATTAATTTGCATAGTTCAATTATTATGCTATAAAGAAACGTGGTGGTATGGGGGAGTTCAGCATCATGATTTAAAAGGGGAAGTGCTTCTTCATAGGGAGGGGAGTGTGCTTCCTATAGGTCGCTGAGTTGATAATAAACGAACATTCAACTGTGCGGGAAGTGGTTGGTGAGTTATATGTAGGAGGTGTAGGATCTCTAGTTGAGACTCCTCTATTCTGTACATAGTTTTCTATAGAATGACCCGAAATGCCTTCGTTGGGAGGATAACGTCTTCCAAGGCAAGAAGATGAGAAAGCATGCCGCCCTTGGCTTCTCACTGAAATGATGGGTGTTGGAGTGGGGCGCTCTGTTGTCATGAATATTATGTCAGGTGACCATGTAGTAAGCATTGCAAGTACTTTAGTGGTGGGATTGAAGTTTCCCACAGACGGTGTCAAACTGATGCGAGCTAGAAAATTCACGGCAGTAGAGTCGCCTATTTTTGTCCTAGCGTTGTATGGATTTTTGACACACTC